TGCACAAGGAATCCAATTTAATCCAGTCCAAACAATATAGACAAAAGATTCTTGAAAACATCCACACTCTCTCAACAAATCCACCCTTTCTATTTCTCTCTCTCTCTCTTTTTAAATTCTTTTAGCAGCCATTATTTAGAGATGAATCTAAGAATTTTTTTCTTTGTGAAGGTTTGCATTAAAATAGTTTGCCAAGTAACCCTGATGACAGTGTCATGAAGAGGAGATATTCTCTTTGTTTATTTCCTTAAAATACACACTGCCAATTATGGAGCTCTCTCTCTCTCAGCTTTCTAACATAAAGCACAATTATTTAGTGACTTTTCGATTTTTTTTATCTTTAGCTAGCATGGTTAACTGGCTTTTTCCAGGTTAAGAAAGCACCCGGATAATCTTTGTAAGCTAATTTAGTCTTTTCACATCCATCTTTAATGTAAGACGAAATGGAAAAGATTGGAAAACAGTAATAAAATGATGCTGAGATAGATTCATTGAATCTGTTAACAGAATCAACTGAATCTGTTTCCAAATCCATTTTCCTTGTAATCATCCACATTGAGTTTGGAACATTTTGTATTTTTATGTTTTTTAATCATTGCAAGGTAGCTTTCACTTTTTATTGTTTCAAAATCTTTTGCTCTGTGGCTTTGAACTGAGATTTCTGCTGCTATTTACCATTTTGTCACTATAATTTCAAAAGATGTTGATTTTAGTTTAAAGATGATGCTGTCCGACATTGTTTTCAAATCTTTGTATCAACTGCCAAAAATCAGCTGAAACACTTGATCCAGGATCAAAGTGCATTTGTTCTCAAAACAGAAAACTAATAATTATGTTCATATTACTACATTGACTAACATATGACACTGTTTTAATGCTGTGAACATACTTTTGTCATCATGGATAATATCAGAGTTTGTCATTTCTGGTCACCCATGCTCCAGCTGTTACATGAGATGCTTGTAAATTTAAGCAGGTTTTTATCACATGTGTATAAAAAAAAGTTGCCTTAATATCTGCATGACCTTTGAACTAAGTTGACATGTAATAAACATCCACTGTAAACAAATGCATATTTCAGTATATTTTAAATAAAACACCAGTAATGGTCTTCAAAATTAAATTTTGTCAAATCATATTGTACTTTTTTTTTGAGGATTTTTAATTACAGGTAAAAATTTCCCTATTGGTTATGGCATTATCAAAGTTTTGAATGACAAAACATTAAAATCAAACTAAAACTTGCTTTAAGTATACAAAAATGGTTTTTAACATTTTTACAATTTGCAACTTAAAGCAGAAATTAAAACTTAAAATATTTTTTGTTTAGAAATTTCTATAAAATGTCTGTCCTCTTTACTAAAATTTAAAACATTTTTGGTATCTCTGTAGTTAAAATAAGCAATTTTATTTCATATTATTTTTTCAGACATATTTTGGCATAATATATGCAAAATATGAAAGCAACTACAGAAATTTAAATATCTGAGCAGTGTTTTACTAGATGACAGTAAATGTGATACCAAAATGCATTTGAATAGAGAAAGATGTCTACCCAAACCTAAGGAAATTATTAAGAAAGAGAAAAATTTCATTAGAAACAAAAAAAAGGTTGCTGAACTGTTATGTAGTATCAATTCTCTTATGTGGCAATGAATGCTGAATAATTCTGTCAAAGATAAATTGGAGAATTGAAGTAACAAAAAAATGAAGAAGCATGTTGATAATACTATGGACGAAGCATGTGAGCTACAAGGAAGTTTTAAGGAAATGGAAACAAAAAGGATACTCATGCTTAGAGTAAGAAAAAAAACAGTTGAAATTTTTGGGAAAAATAATGAGGAAAGAGGGCTTTGAGAATTTGACATTTACAGGACACATTGAAGGCAAAAGGGACAGATATAAACAATAAGTCACCTACCTAACAAGCTTTTGCAAATGAATGACCAAATCATGAGTAGGAATGATAGTAAAAAGTCAGATATTAGAGCTACAAAGAATAAGAAGTTGTAGAGCCATGACTGCACATGTCCTGAAGATACACATTACATAAGAAAAGAATCAGGCTTACAGTTTTTGATATGAGCAAAATTTATCATTGGCATGTTTTGTGCCTAACAAAATAGTGTACACTGGCTTATACATATAGGGTATGCATTTAATATCATTTTTTTTTTTTTACAAATTGGAGTACAAAAATTGAAATATCTGGAAAGTGCAATACTGAAATCCAAAGGCACATTGAGATAGCCAAAGATGCCTTCCAAAAGTATTGAAACAGAAAAGTTTCATTAGAAACAAAGAAAAGAGTAATGAACTGTTACTTGATATCTGTCCTCCTATATGGTAGTGAACACTGGACAATCTTCTCAGAGGCAACTTGATGCCACAGAAACATGTTTCTACAGAAGGAGGCTAAGAATATCATGGACTGAACATGTGAGCAACATCAAAGTTTTAGAGAAAATGAAAACAAAATGTACACTTATACTTTGCATCAAAAAGACATAGTTGAAATTTCTAGGGCACATAATAGGGAAAGAGATCTTAGAAAATTTGATACTCACAGGATATATTGAAGGCAAGAAGGACGGCATGAATAACCTCCCTAACAAGCTTGTGTAAATGGTTGGCAGAACCGTAATTAGGACACATAGTAAAAAGACAAACTTTAGGATAGGAAGATGTAGAGAGCCATGATTGCCAGTGTCATGAAGGGACATGGGACATAGAAAAAGAAGTAGTTAAGAAGTAGAAATTTTCCCTGAGCTACTTTTGTTTTTATAGAAGCTGTGTACATAATAGATAAATGGATTTTTGAACAGATGTCCTATAAACATAATTTTACCATCATACCCTACACAGAATAGATGTAGATTTTTCCATGTGTGATTACATCATCATTATCATTCCAAATCCTCCTTGTTTCTCTTTCACTTTATAAATAATGGCACTGACTTCATCAGTCATTTATACTTAGTCATTTACCTTGATTTACTGCTAACACAGAATAATTTGGAATCTGCCAGACACTAATCTCATAAAGTTATGTATACTTTAATTATCTGCAGTGCCTTACCAGATCTTCTTCCCTGAAGCCTTGAGTGTCTGTATCCCAGACATTGTGCAAATATCAAAAGGTCAGAAATTGAAATACTTAATATGTGCGTTACATATAAATATTTTCGTTAAATTTGTTATTTTATTTTCTTTTACATTGAGATTTTTTTTATGTAACGCACATATACATGTGAGCAGACAGATAAAAAATACATATGTTCATTTTCTTTAATTATATTTTTTTAATTTATAATATTTAACATTTCTTTTATGTCTCTTCAAATCATGGGCAATCATGGCTTTCCACATCTTCCTATCCTTTGTGGCCCTTGGTAATGTCTTTTCACTATCCCTCCCACTCTCTGTTCTGCCATCAATTTACACAGGCACGGTGGAGTAATGGATAGCAGCTTGGATTGAGGAATCGGAGAGCCGAGTTCGAATTCCAGTCGAATCCATTACATTCACTTATGTGCTAATACCCTTGGGAAAGGTGTGAATCCTCTTTCTTCTCCCTCCAGCTATGGGTAAATAGCAGGACAGATGGCAACTGGTCTAGGAGAAGGAAAACTCTGAATTTAAAACCTGCCCTTAGATGAGGGTGAGTGGAGTCTTTCTGAGCCTTGGTTGGCAATCCATTTAGTGATGGTGCCACGATAAAAACACCCTTGATAGACCTAGCGAAGCATCAAGAATTCAGCTATTTGACAAGATTATGAACTACACCAATCAAAGTATTAGTGAGTTCAATCTCGGCTGAGGCCGCAAGATGATGATGATGATGATGATACACAGGCCCAATATATAAGTTACTCACTGTTTCCATCTGCACCTCTTGCATTCAATGTGTCCTGTATGTGTCAAATTCTCTTAGCTCTCTTTTCTCAATATGTGTCCCAGAAATTTTAACTCTCTTTCTGATTCTAAGTATAAGCATACTTTTTGTTTCTATTATCCTTAATACTTCTCTGTTACTAACATTTTCAGTCCATGTTATTCTCAGCTTTTTTTTTTATAGAACCACATCTCAATTGCTTTGCTTTTTCATCTGTCAGGAGATTGGCTAGCATTCATTACCACATAGGAGAACTGATATTGCATAGCAATTCTGCACTCGTTTTTGTTTCTAATTAATTTTTTCTTTGTCTTAATAGTTAGCTTTTGGAAGGCATACTAAAAAAACATTAATTAAAATGTTTGAAAAATATCAAACTTTTTTTTTATGGTAATACTTTTAAATAATAAAATACATAAAAAGAGATTTATTATGTCTGTATGTGAACATGTGAAGAAATATTCTAAAGATTCTTGGTGACTGTTCTTCGCTTTAATTGGTTGCATCTGGTCAATTGAAATAAATGACTCAGCTCTGGTCTAACTTTCTCAGATTTATTTGACTCAAAACTTTATAATATAAAATGCAATGGGAGAAAATTATATATAAATTTTTATATATCAGAAAAAAATTATATTCCAAAATATAAAAAAAAAAATTAATTTAAAAGATTAAAATTTCAGTGCCCCCTCTCCTTCATGCGCATGTGTACTTACATCAATGTAAACATCACTTTAATCTGATGAAGTCCTAATGAGCAAAATGTGTAATACAAGCATTTTTTTCTGCTTTGTCATTGATTTTCCTAATAAAATGTTATAAATTAAAATGAAATAATACAAAATGGAATAATTTATTGAGACATTACAAAATCATTTCTTATCTTGTAGCAGTTCAAATTACTTTTAGCCTCATCTATTTACTGACTTCATGTCCTATTTGTTCATCCTATGATCACATTTTTTTCTTTCTTTTGTTACTCTGATATATACATTGAATTCTGATTAGAATCCAGACAAAAGCTGTGAACAGTGATTTCTGTTTTATTGGAAACTAGAAAATTAATTTCCAACCTAAATAATTCTTCTGTTTTTGTTTATTTCAGTCTTATATGGAAGATCACCTTCAGAATAAAGATCGACTTGATCAAGAATGGGAGGCTTTGTGTGCTTATGAGGCTGATCCATGTAGTACACAGGTGGCTATGGACTATTCTAATGCTCGTAAAAACAGATACTCTGATATCTTACCATGTAAGTACTACAGTGAAAATTGAATTCTTATACTTTTACAATATGTTAATATCTAAACCTTCTTCCCCAGCAACAACAACAAAAAAAAAATCTTACATATCAAATTATTTTTTTTAATTTTGTATAGTTATTTTCAACACCAGAGTTTTTAGTTAGCAAAATTAATTTAGATTAAAAAAAAAAAGGTGTGATGATGATGAAAACTATATTTATTTCATACTTTTGATGAGGTCTAGGTAAACAGGATTTTATACCTTTACACTTTTAAGATTTCAATTTCATTTGGCCTACATCAAGTTATTCATGCATTCACAGGTATGGTTTTGTGATTAAAGTAAAAAGTTTAGCAGGTATGTCTTCCAAGGCTTCTTTCACACAGTTTCATTCACACAAAGATTTTTTCTTTTTGACTAACACTCAGTAATAAAGACTTCTGAAATAAAAATTACAGTACCGTTTTGATATTAAAGAATGTATCTGGGGAGGAAAACTTCAAATATAACTTAATTCTTGTATCCGAGATATGATCCATCGTTCAACTTATAAGTTGACCATATTTTTGCAAGTTAATTTTATGGGATATGATTTCAAATCGCACATCTTTTTTTGCTTTTTTACCCATAGTTTAGGGTGAGAGGAGTGGATTTCACCAGAGATTTTGATTTCAGAGTTGTCCTTCTATACTGGTTGCTAACTATGGCTAAAGAGCCCAATCTGCTCCACCCAATTAGTGTAAAGTGAAGACAGACTGTCTCAACTAGAATTTGAACATGGTTTATTGATTCCATTTCTTGTGCTAAATTCATAAGTCAGCAAAGTTTAACATATGTACCTGCAAAAGAAAAAAAAAAGGTGTCTCAAAAGAACTGTTTTTTTTTCTTGGCATTTCTAATCTTGTATACTCTCTTGCAAATATTTATTGTTTTAAAAAGCTATTTTTAATATTTCAATAAAACACAAGCATATGAAATTGGATTTATACATTCTCTTTTTAGGTGAGAATTGACAACAAAATATTAAACACTATTCTTGTTGATAAACAATCTAATAAATAAATAGTGTTTAACATTTTTGTTGTCATTCTCAAGAGAAAAAAATATAAACCCAGATGCTTGCAACCAACTGTACAGAATGTGGCAAAATGAAATTAAAGAAATGCCTAGAAAATGCATTTTTAAAATTTATAATTATAGTTTGTAATTATCATTTCATTGTGTTTATTCAAATTAATTGTTGACATTTTTATAAATTGATGAATAAAAAAAATTGTTTTCATAGTTATAATATGGTAAATGATAAATATTGGATTGTAGTGGGTTAATATATTTTTATAGAATTTAAATATAAAATTATTCTTGTAAATAAACTATGTAATAAAATATATAGTGTTTAATTTTCTTGAGAAGAAGAGAATTCATAAATCGAAAAATTGCTGAAGGAATATATAATAATAGCAGTGTCAAGAGAAAAACCATCCTTTTGATACACCTTTTTTTTTTTGTGGGTATGTATGTTAAACTTTGCCATAAGTCAATTGAAACTGCTTATTTTCTGTCAGCTACAGGCATGAAATCTAATTGTGACTTATTCAAATTTTATTTATTTATTGGAAACAAATAGCATAATTCTTTGTTTCTGACTTTAGCTCTTAGACACACACACACACACACACACACACACACACACACAAGAAATAAAGCTTTCAAATCCAGATATGATTGATTTCTGTCAAGATTCTCAAAGTGGCCAACAGCTTTGTTTAAGGCAGTGGAGAACTTTCAGAGAGAAATTAACAGGAGATAACTGAAAACTGAAATCCATTAAACATGGCATGTGGAACTAGAACAGTCTACCCCAGTGAGCGAAATAAAGGGTTCAGTTCGACATTCCAACCACCTGAAGAGTGCCGAAGCGTACAACGGCCAAAATGTTGTAATAAATATGGCGGCAAAGATGAGGACAATTGTCTGAATAATGTAAATAATGTACATAATACCTCATCTCAGAAATATAGACAGCTTTGTTTTCTACTACCTGGGTAGGTAAGAGAATTATTGGAAAGATGTTTGACTTCCAATTTTCTTCTCTATCAACCAATCATTGCTGTATACTAGTTATGCTTGGTCAACATATCTTGGAATGAGAAAGTGCAGAGGGAGAACTGGATTCATGACTTTCCTCAAGTGAAATTAATATAGCCATTCCTATTTGGAATTTGGACTCACTTCTCCAAGTCTGTTTTCCATGTTGTAGCTGTACAAGCATGTACTGAAAAGTAAGAAACCTTTCCAAAAACAAAATTTATTTGTTTGGTTATTTGATCAGATTTTGGTAAGTGGATAGGGCCACTCTACACCTCTAAGTCAAAAATAATACCAGTAAGAATTAGTATTATACTACAAACTGAATAATGTAATTAATTTTTATTCTACTGTCCTTGCAGATAACCTGAAAAATAAGATTTATTCGTATAATAATTTTCAGATGCATTGAGAAAATCTTTTAAGTGTTTGGGTACAATAAATTAAATGACTTCTCTAAAGGAAATTCTTATTTCAGTTCAAGATTACTGGCTTTTCTTTTGAATTGGTCTGTGTAGTTACAATGGGACTTGTGATTTCTGTCACTGCCTTTCTCTGTTTAATCAAGCAAAAAAAAAAAAAAAAAAAAAATCTTTTAATCTAAAGATTTTAAAAAGTCCTAAATTTTTTCTAGTGTTTGTCTTTGGATAATGTTCTTAATTTTCTTCAACTGCTAATGCTTTTGCTGCTAATTATCATATTTGAATATATTAGAGAACTGGTTGGTATGCAAATATAGCTTCCTACTCCCAAAACTGCTTTTAATTTATTTATTTATTTTTTTGTCATTATTACAGTGGAAATGGCTTGGTAGTTTATATTGATGTCATTCTACAATTCTCTCACTTCACCCTACTCATCTTTCTCTTCATTTTTTCACTTTGGCAATAGTCACGTAGCCAGCCAGTGGCAGGGATAGGTTCACCTCAGCTAAAAGCCTGTATTCATTATTGTAATCTGAGCTCAACTTTATGACACAGGTAAAACGACTTCACTCCTCCTTGCCTGCACAATAGTTGTTTGAGCAATGTTTGGGTGGACAGATGCACTTTCAGAATTATCTTATTCTTATTCTTGAAGAAGAATATCAAGAGAAATTCTTTTTCTTTCTATTAAAAGGCATCTAGTGCCCATAACCTGGTCCAGGTCACTATATTTCGTTGGGGTAATGATTCAGGGCTGAGATCACTCAAGCCCAAGGCAATTTGACAATCTGGCCACAAACGTGAATGGTCAGATTAAGCACCTGCACTATGTGATTATCACAGAACATAACAGTGGATACATTTTGATGACAGAAACTATAAAGTTAACATAATGACTTGTTTATTTTTTTAACTGGTCTCATATTGCTGAATGAATAAGGTTTTTTGGTTGTATCAAATAATTTAAGTCATAGAAAATTTGGCAATGTTTAACCTTCATGCCCATAAAAAAAAGATGTGAAAAAGAATAGTTATTCACTTGACATCACTATTACTGTATACACTTTTGACTTAATGATTATTTACAAGATTATAAAAATATGTGAGCCAAGTACAATGTGGTATTTATTATTTACCTTTTATGAAAAAAATAAACTTTAAAAGAAATCTTTTTATTCAAAAATTTCTAGAAAAAAATTGCAAAAATTATCGAGATATGTAAACCAACTACAATGTAATATTTATTATTTACCATTTTATAAGTAACTATGAAAAACTATTTTAGTAAATTTATATGGCAAGAGCAAATGAAAGAACTATTCAGAAAATGCATTTTTTCAAAATTTATAATTCCAGTTACTTGTTATGTTTTTATTTAAATTTTCTTCAGACATTTTTATAATTTTTTAATAAAAAAATTTCTCTTCATATTTATTTCTTTATAAAACAGTGAATAATAAATATTTCATTATAGTTGGTTCACATATTTTTATAATTTAGTAAATATAAAATTATTCTTGCAAATATGCAATCTAATGAATAAATAGTGTTTAATATTTTTGTTGCCAGTTTTCAAGAATAAAGAAAATATATAAAAAATCCACTTTCATATGTTTGGGTTTTACTAAAATTCTAATCATTGCATTTTAATGAAACATTGCTGAGGGAGTCATAAGTGCATACAGTAATATTGGTATCAAGGGAATAACTTTATTTGACTCACTGTTTTTTTGCAGGCATGAAAGTTAAACATTGTTGAAAATTTTTATGTTAAAAGTAGAACTGAATTTTGAAATTCATAGAGAATAGCCAAAGAAAAACTTAAAAAAAAGTAATTTCATTTTTTTCTGAGAATATATACATACATAAGTTGTTCTATCCCTATCTTACATCTTAAACCAGTCTAATCCAAAGTGAGAGAAAAAATGTCTCATTTTTTTTTAAATCTCAAAAGCAATTAGCAGTTCAGTAATTGCAGCATTTTTGAGGACATGAGAATAGGAAGAAAACTTTACAATTCTTTTGACATCAATTCCTTCCATCTCACCTTTAAATAAATGTCAATTGGATTTTTATTCATTAAGTTTAAATCTGATGAAAACAATGTGTAATTTTTAATAATTCCTTGAATCCAAAGAATAATTTAAAGTTATTTAAGTACTTTCAGTTATTTCCAAACTTTTTTTTTTATATTTCTATAGAAAACAGAGATTATATAATGTGTGGCAGAAATACCTCCCATATAATGGTAAGATGTTAGTGGCAATTTTATCTTCATCTAGATAATGTCTTACCATTATGTTGGAGTTATTTTTTCCACATCTGTATTTCAATTCTAATCTTCCTTAACTGTATAGAAAGTGATGAATTTGTATACTTTAATACATTTTTAATAGAATTATCCATTCAGAATCATAAAAGATTAAAGAGTATCTGCATAAAAATATAATCTTTAGTAACTTCCTGTATTTGAAGAGTATTTCAAAATATAGATATGAGTAAACATTTTTTAAAAGTCCTCTTCAATGAGGAAAAATTTGAATAATTTTAATCATTTCAGTTGTCTTGAAATGTTGAACCCAATTTTTTTTTTATGTTATGCTCCTTTGGAGAATATGGGCTAACTCATTGACAGATTTCATCTTCTCTCTTTTCTTCCTCATTCCTTCTTAGAATTATAAATAAACTCTTGTATACAACTGAAGATATATATATATATATATATATATATATATATATATATATATATATATTTATCATTTCACCCCATGCAAAGCAATAAAGCCAGTAAGATGCAAGGGGTTATTAAATATTAAGTATTTAGAGAATATGAGAAAAAAAAACTACTAAGGAGAAAAAACAATAAAAGAACAAGTATTAGGAAGACAGAAGTTAATAATTTAATAAATGCAATTGTATTTAAAGTTTTAATGTTTTGAAAATTAAACTTTACTGAGAAGCAAGAAGCCAGAAGAGCATTTCACAAGTAAGAAATGTAAGAGAAGAAACTGTTAGCAGTTTTTAAGCAACTTGGTGCTGCATAGATAAATATACATTTCAAATATATATATATATATATATATATATATATATAGATAAATGTGTAAAAATTTAAGATAGAGTATCTGTGAAAGGACATTATGAATACAGACAAAAGGGAAACATCTTAACCAACACATTTCGTCCTCTGAGGGACTTTATCAAGTCAAATAACCTCACACCATATATTTCATCTCTACACACACAAATTCCTAAAATCCTCAAAAGAAGAATTACAAGAAAAAGAAGCAACATGTTTTGATAAAGCACACAAAATAGGACATGTTCTTCATAAACACAGTGAAAATAAAAATTCAGTCAGCCACAACAATACAGATTTGCCTTGATAAAGTCCCTCAGAGGACTAAATGAATCAGCTAAGATAAGTTTTTTTGTCTTTATTCATATAGATAAATATACATTTCAAAATTTGCCCTTAAGGAAGTAAAAGATAATATTGATAAATAAAACCAAAATATTTGTCCTGTCTGTATGACTATAAAATGCTTTCTCGATCTTTTGTTTATTGAAGTATAACAAATCTCATTAGTTATATGACATAAACACTAATTACATTCAAAACCAGGTTCCTGATTTAAAACAAACAGAAAAAATTAGCTTTCTTTTTAATAAAATTTCTCATGAAGTTTATGTTAAAAATATTATTAATATTATCTATACTAGAAACACACCATATCTTCTAATTAGTGTAAAGTGCAAAAATAATAAAATTATTACACCCAATGTAGCTAAACTTTACTCTCAAATCAAAGTGAAATTGATACATTTTCAGAGCAGTGATTAAAGTAATGAACATTTCAAATGACTTAACTTCTCTTGGAACTAGTTTGATGAATATTTCTATATAGATTTTAAGGAGTCTTATTTTTTTATATCAAGACTTTTTAGTAAAGGGAATTAGTTGGTAAATTTTCAGTTGGCTTAGTGATTTAAAAAAAAACAATTTATTTTCAGGTGGATTCAGAAGTTTCAAGTTAATAATTTCTTGAGTACAAGAGATTAAAAGAGGTACATGACAAAAGGCATGAAAATAAAAAAAAAACTGACAATAAAGCCTGGACTCTTCTAATCATCTACAAAATTATTGAATCTATTTTTTGGAATCTTGCTTTTAAAAATGAACCATTTTGTAATTTGCTTGGCAATGACACAATAATACAACATCAGAAGCAATATTGGAAAAATATAATGTTTCTGGGATGACTGATTTGACATTTTTAGTTATTGATAGAGTTTGACATCTATCTGTTCTAATCTGTCTCTCTGAGGACAAAACTCAGCAGAAGATATCACTGACAACTTTGGGACACTTCACTTTGATTTACACATTATCTTTCCTTTGCTCTCTCCTTCATTTTTCTTCTTCAGATTCATTCCTTCATTTCTCTCAAATTTTTCAATATTTTCTTCTAATCTTCTTTATTGGTCTTTTAGCCTTTCTTTCTTTTTGTCACTTTTATAACCTCTCTTCTTTCTACCCTTTAATTTCTTTATCACTTCCACAACACCTTTTCTCTCTCTCTCTGCTCTTTCTTCTTTTAGCCTTTGTCTTTTTTCTTTCTTTTTGTCACTTCTATAAACTCTTGCTTCTATTTAACTTCTCTATCATTTCCATAACATCTCTTCTTCACTCTTTTTTCTCATATTCTATCCATTCTACAAATCCATTGTCTTCTTGCTTGCTTGCTTTCTAACAGACAATGCCTTATTTTTTTTGTTATACTTCAAGAACCAGTGATAATGTTTCATGTTACAAAGTATCATAAATATCAACTTTTCAGAACTTAATAATAATAATAATCATCCTTTTGTTTAATGCATGTAATATAATACAATATTGTGAAGTGCATTAGAAGACTGAAAATCAGTTGAACAGAGTGGACTGGAAATATTATCATGTTCACTCTGTTTAAACTGATGAAGTCCACAATTCACTCCCATGTGTATTAAGTTTAACATTACCAGTTCAGCTTTTCTGTTTAAAAGTTTTCTGCCTGAATTTCTGAGACAATCTTTTGTTACTATTCAAAATGCTTCTTTTGGAGGAAAGTGGAGACTGCACCTGCTAAAACATTGGAATAAAATCAACCAAGATGAGGATGTTAATCTAAAAAGAATCATTAAAGAAGAAAAATGAAAAAGAATAAAAAAAAGTTAAATGGAGTCATTGTACCTCTCATTAGTAACACAGTGAAACAGCAGGGGGAGGGGAAATTTCTTTCCTAAATGAATGTCATTGTTACTCTCACTGACTTCTTGCTTTAGGTTACTTCGACTAGAAGTCAGACAAGATATATAAGAGCTCAGTTGGTAAGGGGATATAGCTTGAAGATTGCTAGACAAAAAAGTTCTTTTAAAGACTACAAAAGAACATTAATACAGCTATAATTTTTTAGTCAAAATATACTTCTTTTATTTACATTATTTACACTCCGACTGTCTCATCTTTGTTGTTATTGTCACAATGTTTCAACTGATACACTCTCAAGCCTTCATCAGGTGATTGTTGATCTGGGTAACCATCAAAGAATTTTGAACTGAACCCTCTATTTAATACATATGTTGTCCATGTCTAGGGATATCTTACCCTGTCCTTTTTTAGTACTTCTTAATTATAGCTAATCCTGTTTTCACTATGTCTAAATCTGCATTCCCCAGTCCAGGGATTGAACTCACAATTATGTCACCAAATTCACAGACCAACATTTTAACCCCAAATAATCCAAGTGTAAATAATTTAAATAATATCAGACAAAATAATTTAATTTTTCAAATTCTGACTTAGTTTTGTAGATATATTTTTGTGTGTGTGTGTGTGTGTATATATATATATATATATATATATATATATATATATATATATATATATATATATATCCCAGTTCTTTTTGTCATTTTCTTTGCTAAATGTCCAATTTGTAATGTAACCTTTAAGTTATAAAAGATACAGATGTGCCATGTAAATCTACCTATATACATTTCATATATTTGCTTATATATACCTACCAACAATGCTCATAGAATGGCCACTATTCCAAAAGGACATTTCCTCTATTAAAAATATCAAAGTATACAGAACTGTCACTTTCTCTACTGTTCAGAAATGTTTGAATAAAAGTATAATTTCTGTTTTCAGTGGAATTAAAAAAAAATAAAGATTTGGAAATAACTGAAAGACTTTACCTTGTACTTTAAAGTATTCTTTGGATTCAAAGAATTATTTAAAAGTACACATTGTTTTCATCAGATTTAAAACTAATGAGTAAAAATCTAATTGGCATTTATTTAAAGGTAAGATAAAAGGAAGTGATGTGAAAAGAACTGGAACATATTCTTTCTATTCCAGTGACCTCAAAGTTGCTATAATTGCTAGACTGCTGCTTGCTTTTGAGATTTAAAAAAAAATGGAAGAGACATTTTTTTTTCTCTCACCTGGGCTTGAATGGTTATGATTAGAGATATTGGTTCAGGTAATATGAATTAGATTGCCTGAGGATAGAACAAAACACTTTTAAAAGTTCATTAAAGGAATATTGAACTGAGAACCTTTGTTACCTCTGCATAATGTGGTGAATATTTTGTAATTTCTGTTGTCTTTTAATCATATTGCTCAACACTAGTGGCATCAGCAGTGGTTTAGCAACAGAGCTGGTTGTTCAACTTGTGATATGAACAGAATGCATTTTTCAGATTATTCTGAATATTGTAGAATATAATACAGAATTCATTTGCTGTTACTTCCTACCAGTTAAATGATTCTCCAGAATTAATAATATTCTTATGTTCTGGTTTATTAATCTAAATGTCATATCAAAGTTTAGATTAAGATAAAGCACCTTATAAACTATACTGTTGATGTTTTTCAAACAAGTATGTAAAGAATCCATGTTGATAGATTCTGTTTGCTTCAGATTTGTGAATGAAGATCTTAAAGTGCATTCCTCTTTTGATGCTGGTTTGGACAGGCTTGTTCAGCTACAATGGCTGTAGGAGAAAGATTATGATCTATGATGCGTGTGTATGCATGTATTTAGCTGTAGATATGCATGCATGCATGTGTGTACATACACACGAATGCATATATATATATATATATATATATATATATATATATATAGGGAACAACAGCAATTAAGAGGTGGTTCTATGCTCCTCAAAACATCCCAGTCAGAGGCCTTGCAGCTGGATGTAGTTTATCGTCATACACACAATGGTTTCACTAGTTCAATGTCTTCTAAAGAAAAAATGCAGGAGTATTGTGATGAACTTGAACTAATTTTAAGCAGATGCACCAACTCTGCAAAAACAGAGTTCATAGGTCAATGTGGATTCATTCTACACTGTAAAGCCTAGCTCATCCTTCCTAACTATTCAAAATCTTCACAGGTACTTTTACTTAACTGCAAAAATGTTTTTACCAGACTATCATTTGTGATTACTGACAAGAGAATCTGTGATATTTAGGGTAGATCAATATCTCTTTAGTCTGATATATAGTTATTACCTGAATTTTGATTTTAAATTTTCACTGCATAATATTCAATCTATATGATTAATATTTACCAATGAATGAAGTGCAGATGTGTCTATGTAAATGCAGGTAAAGAAAAAAGTTGGTGTTGCATATTGACATAGTCAATGCAAAACTCTGTTCTTGAGGCAAAAAGACTCCTTAAAACTCAAGAACTTTTTGGAGAATCCTTGCAGAATAAATGATGGCATTTTTTCTGGATATCTACAATCTAGATTTCAATTCCAGCTTGCATTAAGTGCTCTTTAAAATTTCTAGGTGGTGTTCCAAATGCATCCATCATGTTCCCTACTAATACTAATCTTCATGAACAATTGTTTGGGGAGGTGGGGGGTCCCCATTTGTCCATTATGCCTATATAGAAAAGACATCTTTTTCTGCATTGACTGCATCCAATAGCGTCTCCAGCCTTGTTGACTTTTCTTCTGCAATTTATCTGTGGTTTGACTCTGAGGGATGCTTCTTGATAGATCTTCTGTTGGCTGACGTGGTTTTCCATTGTTGGTGAATGAATCCACAGATGAGTATCCTTTTCAAGAAATCCTTGAATCTGTTCTATGAGGAACCAATCACTCATAGACAAATTCTCCATATAGAAAGGTCTATGGGGGATAGCACTCTCCAATCTTTGCCATGTGGCCATCCAATCTCAAATAAGTCTTGTAGTATAGCTCCAACACTTGTAATACTAGCTGAATCCAGAACTTCAGTGTTAGCAATGAAATCACCCAATATCCCAATGCACTTTTAAAATTGTGTTCAAGTGGGTGTAGATGGCACTGATATACAATCTCGGATTGGTGAACATGTGGGTATAAGATTGGACTTTCTTAATTCAATTATAGATTGCTCTGTTATTTCAATCACTGCACCTGGGGTGGTAGCAGCTGTTAGGGTCCCAGCTATGGGAAAATAGTTAACCAACAAACTGGGGTCAAAACACTATGAAAGTATAAAAATACATTTTTATAGTAAAAATACCAGCAATACATTTTTGAAAAAAAAATCTTATTACCAGCAATACATTTGACTTTTGACAAAAACTTCTTTAAATTTGACTCTTTAAAAAATATGTCAATGAAACTGATCTAAAAACTGATTTCTTACAAAGAATACATATTCTATTCATATGAACTTATCATAAAAACCTTGTTGGCATTAAATAATCCATTGAGGTTGATATGCCATAAAATTTAATAAACTAAATTAGTGAAGCAAGTAGTTCTCTATACTTTATGAGTTTTCCACTGTTCTGCCAGATTTTTAATTTTCTGAATTTATTAACATGATCTACACCATTCCATTTATGTACAATTAATGTTTTTGATAAATTTATAACACATACATATACATGTTTTTCCTAAAGAAAATTAAGAATATTTGAAGACATAATGATAAATAAAAAAAAAGCAAATAAAACCATCATTTCTTAATTTTCAGTATGAATCCTTTAATTTTTTGTATAATCATGATAATTAATTCTGACTTGATCCTTATCTTCAACCAAAATTGAAACAACATGCTTTGCATTTTAATTTTGCAAATGAAATGGAAAGAACTAATTTAATCTCAGTTTGTGCTTTTGATAACTGCCTGTACAGCTGAAAGCATTCAATTAACAATTTCAGATGGACAGATCTGTGAGCAAATATTAAGGTGTGAAAAGTTAACAAAATTACATTTTCTAAAAGACACAGAACCTCGTCTCCACTGTTCCATGTAAATTCTTTAATTTGTTTTTATTCGAAAGGTCACATGACTTTAAAAAACAAATAGATAAAATAGTGAGTTTCATTTTTTGCATCCCATTTTACCTGATCAAAAATAAGAATGAATAAGGTCCCAGTGAACACAAATTAATGTAAGAATTGTTATTTTTTTTCTGCTTTAACATTCTTCTTTTTGTATATTAGATGCAGAAAATACCAATGTTTAAATCGTTATAAAAATACATGAACAGATTTAAAAATCTTGCATAAACAGACACAGATTTAATAGAGTTTGAAAGATTTTAAATATTAAATATCTTTGTTGTTTATTTTTTCCAGTATTAAAAAATTAAATTTTGTTAATTTCACTGTCAAAAATTATTAACAATTATTAAATTATTAAACATCTTAGCAATATTTGCATCTCTTTGTCAGAAGGGAAATCATTGACTTATAAAACGAAGAAGAAAAACGAAAATTTATTCAGGAATAAAATATAAAATGTCATTAAATCAAAACCTCAAATAAATACAGTATTATGTCTTTGTCAGTATTATGACCAAAAGTGACATCATCAGGTATATGTATACACAGTAGCAGGTGATTTAGTTATAACTTCCATGAATAGTTTTTTCAATTGATATGAAAATAACAATGATTTTCTTGCTGGATACAAATCCTACTATTTAAAGTACGGCTGGAGTAAGAGGAGATGGCGTCATATCTTTCTGAAGGTTATTTGTACATAAATAAATATAATAAAGAACTGGAATTTGAATTTGATTCTCCAATCATTGAGGAGGCATGGTGGAGTAATGGATAGCAACTCAGATAGAGGAATCAGTGGGGCCCAGTTCGAATTCTAGTCAAATCCATTATATTCACTTACATGCTAATACCCTTGGGAAAGGTATGAATCCTCTACTGTGGAAAGAAATGTAAAACCGACGACAGGAAAAAAAATCTGCCTCATAAGTCATGCATCGAAAGATACATGATTGCCTAAGTGTGCATCACGCATGGCACATAACTGACTGAATCCTTGAGTAGTATTAGTGACAAGAATTAAAGTAAAAACTCTTATCAACACTTCTGTGAAGCAGCTTTTGTCTAAGAATCATATCATAATAAGAATATTCTATTTTTGTAAAACTAGCTTTTGTATCCTATTTTAGAATTTGTTTATTACATGTGTTTTCAGTGTGGGAAGAAATTGTTGCAACTTTAAAAACTCACTTATTATGAATAAATAAGCATCTTGATAGAAAAAAATATTAAAACTCAATGATAATTTTAAAACAAATAATTTGTCATCCATTATTTCCTATTAAAATCTGAAAACAACCTCAAAGATCTGTACAACTATTAACAACAAAGTCCTCATACATTTTCACCCCCTTCTCCTTAATGGCAGCCTTGAGATTACTAATCTAATTTTTTATTTTGTAAAACTAAATATTAGCATTCAAATTATGTATAATTTTATTATATCTGTAATATATTAATTTATAAAGTAATATTATAAAATAGTTTAAAATACACCTTGGTGAAATTAAACAATTTCTCTGTATCTGATTTCACTGAAATATGTTTGAAGAAATGAATTTAAAGAAATTTAATACTGATAAAATTTCTTTAAATTCATTTCTTCAAACATGGAAATGTCAGATATAATCACAAATTGAGATTTGATTACTTTTTCTTTTTTCTTATATAATCAAATTCTAATCCCACATATTTTTCTTGTATAATTTGCAGGACTTGAATTACAAATGAAAGTTAACATAGCTTGAAAGATAAGATTCATAAATCTTGGAAAATTAAAACAAAAATGTAAAAAATCATTAAAAAACTTGTCAGTGTTTAATTGGGGTTGACTCATTTGAGGAAAGTAATTTATCAGGTTTTTATTTGCTAATTAATTAAGCTAAAATATCAATTTGTCAGTTTTAATGATTATATTATGGGGAAGGGTGTGTTACAAAATGAATCTGAGGTTTTTAAATTAACTTACTGATGAGAATTTGCAGAATATGCTGAGGTTGAGCATAAAAACATTTGTTAATATAAAAATGAACACCAAGAATTAGAACTAAATCAGTCATTAGGAAAATTATTTTTATTTGCATCAAATAATTAGAAAGTTTTCTATTTGTTTCATTTTTGATTCCTATAAAAACAAAAAAATAAAAACATGTAAAATTTGTAAATAATAATGATTGAAGAAAAAAAAAAATGGTTTAGCAAACTGAAGTAACTGAAACTGAATATACTCCTGTGATATTTAAAAGCCAATTTGCAGCTAAATTCTCAACCACCTGGGAGGGTGACAAAGTTTAATGATCCATTTTAAACCTGATAGAATTTCCAAGTGTTAATCCATAACCTACTGGGTACAAAGCAGCTTGCATGCAGATAGAGAACAGGTTGAGTGAATAAATAAAAATAGAAACCGTACAACAAGGATGCGTTTTATCACCAGATTTATTTAACTTGTACAGTGAGATGGAATGGGAAGGCTAGAAGATCAACCATGATTTATTATAAGTGAACATAACTTTAGCAGATGACACTGTGTTGATTTCAAATTTAGAAGGAAAACTGAAAGAATTATTAAACAAATTAGTTGATGAACGCAAGAAGAAAAGACTGTAAGAAAACAATGCACGATTGAAAGTGCAAAACAGCCCAGGAAGGCATGAGCTACATATTTTGGAAGCATTAAAATCAAGCAGGTGCAGAAATTTAACTATTTGTTTAGTACTGACAATAGAAAGTATGACTGAGAAATTCACAGATTCCTAAGAATATCAAAACATGCTTTTCAGGAACTGTACAAGTTAATAAGGAATAAAGATTTCTCTTTAGAAACAGCATAAAAATGCTACATAATATCTTATATCCTATATGACAGTCAATGCTGGAAAATCTCATCACATGAAGAAAAAACTTGAAGTGGTAGAGATGTGGTTCTACCGACAAATATTAAGAAGTCTATGGGCACACAATATGATGAAAAGGAAATTTTAAGAATAGGAACTACCAAGAAACTGCTGCTAACAATCAGGTTTAGAGACATTAACACCCACAGGGCACATTGAAGACGAGAAAATCAAAGAAAAAATGCAAGTAACTTGCTTGATAAATTTGAGTAAATGGAAGGAAGAACAAGTTTCACAAAAGGTCATGAAATAGAAAGAATTGCAGTAAATTGTGGAGAGCCATGATTGTTCTTGTCTTCATGGGATATGGCATATAGAAACAATTTCTCTCACTTGCTGGTGTGTAGTTTTACAAATGAAGACAAATGAACAATCTTGATTACATTAAAGACATTTTCTGTTAATTATAATATCAAAAAGAAATTGGATACGAGTCCAAGTGACATTCTTTGTTAGAAAGTCAAAATTTGAATAAAGAAGAAAATGTTTATCAATACAAAGGATTTTTATACTTTTGGCAATGAAAATACTAACTTCTAAAAAGTTAACAATATTAGAATTTGCAACCACAAATTTAACAGCTTCTCATTATCTTTTTCTTAATTACTACTCAATTTCTCTTTTCTTTTAACATTTAGTTTTTTAGACATACTTTCACCATCAGTTCTTTCTTTCTTTCTTTTTCTGTACACACTTTCACTTTCAGTTGATTCTTTCTTTATTTTCTTTCTTTTTCTGTACACACTTTCACTTTCAATTGTTTCTTTCTTTATTTTCTTTCTTTTTCTGTACACACTTTCACTTTCAATTGTTTCTTTCTTTATTTTCTTTCTTTTTCTGTACACACTTTCACTTTCAATTGTTTCTTTCTTTATTTTCTTTCTTTTTCTGTACACACTTTCACTTTCAATTGTTTCTTTCTTTATTTTCTTTCTTTTTCTGTACACACTTTCACTTTCAATTGTTTCTTTCTTTATTTTCTTTCTTTTTCTGTACACACATCATTTACTTTTGAAATCTTACACTGAATTTTATACAATGGGTATTTAGACATTAATTTTATTTGTTCAGTTGGAGGAGGTGCTGAAATGGTCTTTGTTAGCCTAACTCACTTTCATAAATGTGAACAAATGATTACACATCAGAATTTTGGTGGAGAAAGGCTTTTTGTTTGAGTTGTGAACTTTTTAGCACCCTCTTGTATGATAATGTATATAGACACACACACACACACACACACACACAAGGTAAGCTGAAAACTACTCTGCTTGCCCATTTTCCAAAAATCAATATTCTGATGTTTTATCATTGAAATACTGATTTTGAGGAGTTGGTTGTACTGATAACTTTTCAGCCGTGCTAACTTTATGTATGAATTGTAATTGTGTGTCTACATTTGTATCCACTTATGGTAGCAGGTGTTATAAATTGGTATCTGCATCAGATGCAAATTCTCTTGGGTTTCAATTAGCACATATCATTTGGAACCAATTGCAATCCCTGCCCAACATATTTGATGGATTTCTTTCTTTTCCAGATGACCATTCTCGTGTGGTGCTGAACCAGTCTGCCAATGCCTCTGCTTCTGACTACATCAATGCAAGTACAATTGTAAGTTTTATCAGTTTCATTCACTCATTCCCGCTTTGCTTCAGAGATGAAAATGATGTCATTCTTTTTTGCTTTTCTTTTCTTTTTTCTTAGGTCTCAATGAGAGTCTTCTTTGCTAAATGTGGCTTTCTGGCTATAACTCATGTTTATTGAAAGTCTTGTAAGATTCAGAAAATACAAGATTCTGTTTAATAATAATTCAGTAATGTAGAAAAGTTCACAAAATATTTATTATTATATTGCTAACCTATTTTTTATGTTTATTTCTTGAAGATCATGAACAATCAAGTGATTTATAACACAGCAGACTATTAACTATCATCTGCTTGTAGAGAAGCATATAACTTAGTATTTTCTAGAAGTTCCTAAAAAGCAAGCAAAAGACTGTTGATTCTGATTGTATATAAAATAATTTTTGATTAAGGTACAAGGGAATTTTTAAAAAATTATTTCACCCCCAGCAAGGGAATAAAACCACTAAGATGCAAAGGGTTATTGAGTGTTAAAAAACATTATTAAGGAAAGAGGACAATAAAAGAACAATAATTAAGAAGAAAGCAAAAGGCCAGAAGAGAGTTCAACAAGTGAGAAGTGCAAGAGAAAAACTGCTAGCATAGAACTTATGGATACATCTAGCCATTTAAACTGTAAAATGATGAAACCTACCTGCTAATCTAGTAGTACGCTTAAATTCATAAAGTCTTACTACCAAACAGGAAAGCTCATTAAAACAACTACCAAGAAAATATTTATAGAAAAGGTACTGGGAAGTTACATTATGGCAGTGGGAAAGTGACTGAAGCCAAGATGACAGGTCAGGACTGATAACATTGCAGATTCTTCTTTGGATTTTATCAAGAATCTCTAAATACATAGCAAAAGTACCAGATCAGATGTAGCGGCAATATTCAGTGCATGGACAAATGATAGACTTACTAATGTGTTAGATAGATTCTGGTGAGAAAAACTGTCTAGCACAACAAAGTGAACCAACTTTCCTATCAGCAGACCTAGCAATTGATTCAGTATAATCTTTCCACTTCATATTAGTGGAAAATGTTATCCCAGGAGGTGCAATGAGTCACTCTTCTGAAGGTTAGCATATGCCATGCTGATAAAAAGCAAAAATGTTCTTCAAGACAACAGAGATCAGTTTCATTTTGGAGGAATTAAAAGTAACAAGTGATTACTTAACTAGTTGACAACAAATTGTAAGTCATTTTTTATATCAGCTGCCAATTTGACTTCATCAAACCAAATAGTATCTTTGCTGACTTAATGGTAAGTCTAAGTTGATAACTGATGATGTCGGGAAGGTTGTTGAGAATTAGGAAGAATGGAGGTCTAAGGATAGAGTCCTGTGAGATATTCACATTAATGCAAAAAGATCTAGACAAGTAACCATTCTAGACAATTTTCATTTCACTATTTGGTAATATTTAACTTATTTTTTGTATTTTGTCACTTTCCATAGCTAATTTACTGAGGATTCTAGGGTTTCAAGTAATCTATAGTTTCTGTCTGAATTTCTGGGATGAGAACATATCATTATTTACCTTATTTTCATTTTGGACTATTTTCCTCATCATTGTTGTTATTATCACAATGTTTCAGTTTTAAATTCCTCTGGTGCTTGTTGTTGCAGGTAACATTTAGGGAATTTCAAACTGAATTCTTTATCTAATCTACAGAGGTAGATCGCTCTCATCCTGTTGACCAATGTCTAAAGATATCCTGTCTGGTTTTAAAATCTATCCACATAGATTAAATAAAGGGTTCAGTTTGAAAATTGCTGAAGGTTACCCGGATCGACAAGCACTTGATGAAGGCCAGAGGGAACAACAGCTGAAACATTGTGATAATAACAACAAAGATGAGGACAATATTACAAGTATATATAATGTAAATAATTTACAGTTAGTTTGCTATAAGCAATTTACTGAAGAGTTCCTAATTTTTGTAAATTTGGTTGAAGCTGTAATGTTTTATTTTCAGTAATTAATAAACTAATGGCTATATCAGTTTGAAACTGATTCTCGTACAATCACCGAAGTTAAACAATGTGAAGCCTGGTCAGTACTTAGATGGGTGACGACTTAGGAATACCAGGTGCTGTAAGCTTGGATATATTGGTGGTGTAATGGATAATGGCTCAGAATTGTTAATTGGAGAACCGAGTTCCAATTCCAGTTGGGTTCGTTATATTCACTTATGCGCAAATATCTTTGGGAAAGGTATGAATCTATCTCTTCTCCCCCCCAGCTATGGTTTAATTAGTAAGACTTGTATCACTAAATCATTATTATCTCAAAACAAATTCTTACAATCTAAAAATATTTTCTGGCTTTAAATAACTTGTAATGGGTTGATAAGCCATAAGAAAACAAATCAATCAATGAGTCAGTAATTAATAGCAAAAATGACAGACTAGTTTATCAAATTTTTTTGTTTGGGTTCTATCCTGTTGTCAATGATTACATTAATTATATCTATATTGAAAAAAAATGTTTTACATAGGCAAAAATCCAATATATATTTATGAGTTATTTATTAGTTATTTCATGAATAATGAACAACAAAGAGCAGTAAAAATGCTTAAAAGTAGATTATATAAATCCATTGCTGATGTTTATAACTCTGTATTTTCTGCAGTTTTAAAAACTGAATGACATTATTTCAACTAATTTATTATTCAACATTTCCCTCTGATGTCTCTCTTACTCCATAGTGCTGAAACTCATGTAATAATTATTAGATGCTAAATTTGTAAGAATTTTATGCAACATAATTTTATTGAAATATTAAATATCAAACTGCAATGGAACTAAAGCTGCATATGATAATTAATTTATCTCAATGATAACATGATATTTTCCTTTTTGATATTCTTAATTTGATATTTTTCTCTTTTCATTAATGTTTCAAAATTATTTTTAACTCTTCTTCTTTGCTGTGCCGTGTCCCTTCAGGATGTTGTTGATCATGGCTCTCCACAATTTTGTAGCCCTTAATAAATTTTATTTTTAAAAACTTCTAAACTGTTTTCTAGCATCCATTTACACAAGTTCACTAGGTATGTTATGCATTGTTTTCTTGTGTCTCTCTTGCTTTCAATCTGTCCTGTGAATATCAAATTCTCCAAGCCTTTTTCCTTATTACATGCCCTAGAAATTTCAATTATCTCTTCCTGATTTTAAGTATAAATATCCTACTTGATTCCATTTTTTTCTTAAACTTTGTTGTTGCTCACATGTTCTGTCCATGGTATTCTCAGCATCCTTCTGTAGAACAACATAACAACATTTCTTTTGCTCCAAGTTTCTTATTCATCTTTGAGGAGATTTGTCCAGCATTGATTTCCATGTAAAAAGACTGATATTACGTAACAGTTCAGTATTCTTTTCTTTGTTTCTAATGAAATTTTCCTGTTTCTTAATACTTTATTTAGTTTATGGAAAGCATCTTTTTGCTATTTCAATGCACCTTATGTTGTAGATTCGTATTTGTTGTAACAAACTTTTTGAACATTTCTATTTTTTAATTTATATAAATTCATTTAAAGAAATATACAAATGTAAGAAAAAAAATTCTGCTATATATATATATATATATATATATTTTTCCAAACAATTAAATTTAACCAACAAGATTTGTCTATTTTTTATTGTATTTTTCCAATGTTCAAATAAGGTGATGTATACTGGGTTTGAAATTGTGTATAAATTGTCCAAAGTTCATATTTGTTCTAACTTAACATCACAAAAGAGACAGTGGAAATTTCTAGGGCATGTCATTAGGAAAGAAGACATGAAAAATTTCATACTCACAGAAAAGATGAAAACAGCAATAACCTACGTGGCAGGCTTGAGCAAATGGATGTAGAACAGCATTTAGTAGAAATAACAAAATGACAAAATTTATCAAGACCTACAAAGTACATGTAATTGTGTAGAGCCATGATAACCAATGTCCTGAAGGGACATAGTATTTAGAAGACAATGACTTTTGATGGTCTTGATCATTATAAAGAACTGTGTGTTGTCTTTGTGGTGGGCAAGATTCCATAGGCTTGATCCTAGTATTTTATAGGGAAAGTTTAAAACAGTCCATGTGACTTCAGGTATAACAATTAAAGGGAACAAGACCACACCAAAAAGAATGCATTAATATTTTGCTTCTTTTTTTTTTTTTTGTTTTTTGCACATATTAAATATTTCATACACACTTCAAGATACTAATGTTTATTTTATATAATAATAGCTTTGAGAATTTTCAGTTTTTCCTTGCATTGGTTACTGTATAGTATTTTGGCATTATCCCCTGTCTTCTGTTGATAGTTTGTGATGTGCTGATCAATATGTGCAAAAATTGCACTGAATTTCAACAGGTAACAAGTTAGCCTTTGAGGTAGTGTGATACATGTGTGGTCAATGTAAGGATTTAATGTTTTTTTTTTTAGTGTTGATATTGGAGATGCAATCTACCAGACAGCACGAGAATTCATAAACAATATTATATTGTGCATTTTTGAGGAGCACTGTTATCGGTAATAATTAGATGTTTTGAATTTTTGGTAGTAAATGATAAATCTAAGGTGTTTTTGTGATCATTAAGTGATATATACTGGTGACTTACACTTTTAATTACTTTTTCATAATGTTTATAATTAGGGTACACCTGGTTATGATAGAATAAGTTAATCATTTATTTTGGTATTTTTGTTTATATCAGGTTGATTGCTTGTGTTGTTTTTGATAAATTCTATTAGGCCTAATTTTATTTGTTTATAGTTATTGTTGATAAATAAATGTTTGCTGAATGTTGTTTAATTCTTTATGAAATAATGTGTCCAAAGAAGAAATTATTTTAGCTCAGTTTTTTTTTTTTTTTTTTTTCTCGCCTATTTTGTATCTGTGAAGACAATGCATAATATTAATGCTTTCTTTTTGGTACCATCTCACTCCTTTTAACGATTACAAATGGTATCACTGTGAACTGTTTTAAACTTTCACCTCTTTATAAAATACCTTGATGTAGCCAATTTAATTCCCCAAAAAATTGAAAAAATACAATAAAAGATGGTTGTCTGTCTAATTTAATCAAACTTGTTTAGATAAATACTTGCTGCCTAAATTTACCTTATATATTAAAGACAACAAACATTATTTCTTGATTAATTTTATTGATTGACTTTTCCAAATTATAAGTAATCTATCTCAAATAAGGAGGAAATTACATTTGAAATTGTTCAAAATTTCATTTTCAACTTTGTATAGTCATCATCAGGATAGGTAGAGATGAATGGTGAGTTTTGTAGAACTAGTGAGTTTAGTGACATAGGCAAATAGTGTTATGATGTAAGCAAGGTGTGATATGTGTGTGTGTGTGTGTGTGTTTAATTAATCAACACAAAATGTCTTGTCTTTAATAATATTTGCCTTGGATATTTGCTGCCTAAGTACACAGAATAAATATATATATGCACACATTTTTATGAGTGTGATACAATTATCAAAATTTCATTAATTATTTTACATTTTATAATAAATTAACCTTTTTATTTTGTCAAATTAAAATTTTGAAAAAAAAAAAAAAAAAAAAAATGACTGAATATTTTCCCAGAAATAATCTTTTTGACATTTCAGATATAAGTTCATATAAATATATACATTTTTTTCTGGTAATAAAATTTGCATTCCATTTAATATGTCAGTTTCAATTCCATTTGGACTGCTTAAAATGACTAAATGAATTAATAATAGCCTATTCCTAATATAATTGAATTAGTCAATAGTCCTTCAGCTCATTTGAGCAAGATTCTCCTTGAAAATAGCCAGCATTGATGCATTTACAGCATAATTAGATAAGGAATTCCACTTGTCTGTCACCCTCAGGGCAAAGAAGTTGGATCTTGCCACCATTTTCAAGTACTGTTTCATCACCTTGTATAAGTGACCACATATCATCTGCTTGAGAAGGTGAAGAACTGGTTCACTTTCATTTTATAATAGCCATTAAGTAATTTGTATACCTGACAGTCACACAGACCAGTGAACTAGCATCTTGACTGAAGGAATGGTAGCTTTATTTCACCTGTGGTTAGGTTGAGACACCTGTCTTGGGCTGATTGCTATAAGTCAAGACTTTTTTTTGTAGTTTGAGCTCCAGATAACAGCCTCATATTTGAGTAGTGGTTGAATAAGTGTAAAGGGATTTTACCTTTTTTGAAGTAAGATTCGTGAAGCAACGTTTGATCCTACCTATTCTTTAGTTCTTTAATTTAAATTTTTTTTTTTTTTTATCTACAGAGGTAACAAATGAAATGCATTTTTATAACAGAAAATCCAGATCTTTTGTTTTCAGATAGAATAAATCTTTAAAATACTTGAAAATTAGGATTGATGGATATATACTTTGTGTTGGTAGATTCATGTAGCAAAAAAGGTACAGCTGTTTGGAGCACCATTTCTACTCTGTCTTCTTTACAATCACGATTGTTGAAACTACCGTAAAACTCCACACATAAAGCATGCCCACTCAACTCATTGGTGTCTGTCTCATGTTCATGCTCATTTTATCAAATGGCTGAGATTCAGAAATTTGCATAAGTCACAAATTCATCTTGCAAAATTATCCAAGCTCAAGTTGTTCTTAAATTGCAGATTTTGGATCGGCTATATTTTCTGTCATGTATTTTGCACATGAGACACATACAAGTGAGTTTTGTTCCAGGATATAAGCTGTTTTCACTTCTACAATTCAAAATGTTTGCCAAAACTTTGAACCACTAATGTAACTTCTTTGTAACTATTTCTAAATAAACAATTATTCTAGAGAATTTGTATGGCACTATAGACTCAAAAGTTAAACAAGTTCCTTTATAGAATACTAGCAGGCTTTGCAAAGTAAGATATATTCACTACCTGAAATCTTTGAAACAAAAATTTTAAATGAACATTTCATTCATAAATTGGCTTGTTAAGGAAAGTTTTACAAATAGATGCCAACTTGTTAAAGGCCAAGTAAAAAGAGAGAGTCAAAAACTGAGGAAAATTATACTGAGAGGTGTCACAACCTGACCTTGTGGGGAGTTGAGTAAATACAAATTGCTCTTGAGTAGTTTGTAACAAGGACAGAGTCACAACTGAGGAAAATTATACTGAGAGGTGCCCAGCCCTGGGGAACAGCTGTCTGAGGCCACGCCCTCTCATTGCACCAGAGAGAAGGGATCAGTGCTCGCACCAAGGCTGGCACAACCAATGGTTGCAGGGGCTCAGGCTCCCCACATTAAGCTGATCATGTGTCACAACCTGACCTCGTGGGGGGTTGAGTAAATACAAATTACTATAAAGTAATTTGTAACATGTTTATTTATCATCTCTCAGTTGTGTCTTTGGGCAGAGTTGCCCAGCCCTGGAGAGCAGCTGCCTGAGGCTGTGCCCTCTTATTGCATCAGAGAGAATGGATCAGTGCTCGCACTGAAGCCAGCATAACCAGCAGTTGCTGGTGCTTGAGGAATTTTTGTTCCTTGCCTGGGTGTATGCGCTCAGGCTCCCCACATTAAACCAACCTAGTGTCTCAATGCGACTTGGGGGTGGGGAGTCAAGTAAATACCAAATTACAATAAAGTAGAGCTGGGGCTTTTTTTTATCTCAGAATTTGTGGTAGAATTGAGCTCCAATTTCGCATTTATTCATATAAATTCCACAATATAGGTTTTACTTAATTAGCTATTATGTTTCTGCCACCCATGAAATAAAAATAATTGTTTGTACAGAAAATAAGGATCTACGTACATCAAATTGTCTTTAAATTAAGTAGCAGCAGAAGAATTATTTTAAAAGTTAAGCTTAAATGTTAATTCAATATTTAAATGTAGCAATCAATTTTGAGTTCTTCTGTAGTTTATTGATGCCTGTTGCATCTACTCCTCCCTAGCTAATGCGATGATGGCCAAACCAAGAGTCCTCCACAGAAGCTAGCTTAAATGCTGCCCAATAGAGCGGCTTTTAAGCTAGCTTAAAATTTTAAGCTAGCTGCAATTTTGGATACAAAAGAAAAATAAGAGTTACTCCCCTTGAACCATGAAAACAACAATAATATAATATATTAATATATATTTTTAACCTCGCATAATCTGGCAACCCTGAATTTGAGCTCGACAAAAATCTATCCTTGTGCCTAACTTTTCTAGGGCTTTTGAATGAGCTATAAATCATTGAAATCAAACCAGTGGGAGTGGAGGAGTTGCTTGGACACACACAAACACACACACTGTACTTTATATATAAGATTTAATAAGGTATAACTTGTATTAGCAATAAGAAGATAAAACTTTTCAGAAGCAAGATTCTATAATAGATGTGAAATGTTGACATGAAAATAAAATTAATGTAAATTCTTTTGAATATCATATAAAATGAAAAGCATTATACATCACTCATTTAGGAAATATCAGAATCTTAAATATAAATCATGCCTACTGGTTGCAAGTCACTAATAATAATGTCCTAGCAAGCTAAGACAAAAGACGACTGTTTGGTTAATTTTTTATTGTATTTTTTTTCCAGTTTTCAAATAAGTTGTTTCATATCTGGATCAAAATTTGGTATAAGCTGTTCAAAGATTATCTTTTCATTATGAATTTGTTCAAGTATTTTCAATCACCTCAATCATCATCAATAACTAAATGTTAAATCATAGATAAGTTTTATACATCCTAGCTTTTTTTTTTTGCAATTTAAGCATGGAATAATACAACACAAAATTTCAAAATGTATTGAAACAAAAATAGGTACACAATATTTACAGTTAGTTTGGTATATTCTTGGGAAGACTGTTCCTGCATAATGGTTACTAAATTGGTTCTCTGGAAATTTCTTAATCTCTACTATCTACCCGTCTTCCAAACCCATTTTATATGGTCGGTAATGTAAATTAATCATACACAACAGTTACATTTCAAATTTAAAAACAGCCCAACCTTGTTGGTTGAATTTAATAAAATGTGTTTAAATGAATTCTTGCAACTTAATATACAGATTTCACATATAAAGATTTTTTTTTGTCTATGATGTATACGGCTTTATGGCATCTTAGAGTTATTTTTCTTACAATGCAGATGCCAGGTTGCAGTGTCTTTGTTATGACAATGGTGAACTCTTTCAAGGTGAAAACATTCATCTCCATAAAAGAACAAAGTACAATAAGAATAATTGGAAAAATATATCTAAAAACTCAGATATGTAAAAGAAATTAAGAAATGTAAAAAAAATATGCAATTATTTTTGTTTGCATGGATAAACTATCAAGAAGACTTCTGTCTATATTTCTGAGATGAGGTATTGTAACTATTTACATCATTTGGACTGTTGTCCTCATCTTTATTGCTATATTCACAACATTTCAGCCAGTGGATGAAAGTGTTGGTTGAAGTGACCAAAAAAGTAACTTGACCCAAAGAATTTGTGAGTTCAGTATCACAGCAGAGGGAACAAATGTTGGAGAGTTGGGAATTAACTGATACTGAGATATTCAAGAGGGGCATGGCATGTGGAATTAGAACAATATACCCCTGTGGACTAAATAAAGGGTTTGATCTCGAAGAAGGTTGGAACTTTGTGAATATGGCAATAAAGATGAGGACAACAGTCCAAACAATGTAAATAGTGTAAATATTAAGAAAATATTTCTAACAATTGACTCTTCATAATTATCTTTTACTCTTATGGTGAATATCAAGCAAGTAGACACATTGGATTCTTTTGTTTGTTTCATTCAAACATCTAAAGTGTCTAATTGGCTTGATATTATTCATAGGCAACAAATTGCTCTTCTGAAAATGACCACTTGAAAATAAAAATATTTCAGTTATATGTTCTCTGTGAAATCTGAGTTCTCTCAAACAGTATTTAAATAAAATTCAAGGGACTTATGTAGTCAGCTAACATATAAATCAACAGATTTCATAGTTTCAAAAATGGCCCTGACAAAGAAATTGTAATTAAAATAATTTTAAAAAAAATTAATTTTTGTTATTATGAATAATTGGTGCATGCTGAGTAAGAAATCCGAGGCTGAAAGTCATTTCAGTTTAAAACTACTCATGAGGCAGGTAATAAATTTTTAATATAAATCTTTTAAAGCATCAGATCACTGACTCAAAAACACTTTAGAATATAACTTAGTTTGTGTATCTGCTATGATTATTGAATGAAAACTTGTTTTGTAGATATTCCTTCTGGCAAAAAAGGGAAAGAACAAATATTCATATATATTATGTAATGTTTGCGTTCAAAATAGAATTATAAACTATTCAATCACTAACACTTGCATTAATTCCTGACCACTGACAGTTTCATTGCATAGAATACACACTAAGTGCCAAATTTTGATAATTAAACATTGAAATTTTTATTTAAAATTATTTTTAACAATTTTCAATCACCAGACTATATTGTGCATTAAAAATCATGAAAAAGTGATTGTCAGTGTTCATGAATCAATGTAAGTGTTACTGATAGAATAGAGCTGTTATTATATCTACCTGTATGATTATTAAGGTTTTATTTTGTATAGCTGTATGTAACCTTTATGTAACTTAAATGCTGCATTATAAACAGAGGAATTGAATTAAGGTGCATGTAAAATTAAATCCATCTGATTTACAACCTAACAATAATGTTGTGGAGTCTGTGTTTGTGCTGAACTTAAAATCAACATTTTTTTATGTGAGATAACTATTAAATGCTATTTATAGAGTACTATCCTTTATCTGTTTGTTTACTTATGTACACATGTGTAAAAACATTTGGGTGTAAAAAAATAATAAAAACGTTTCCCCTTGTGTGTAAAATATACAGAAGGTAATATAATCCGCAAGGGAGCAAATTCAATGGTAATCTTTTCACCCTACCATAATTTTCTCTCACAGAGGTGACCCAATGTGTCAAAGATATCTCTAGATCTAAATAGGTGATTGAACTTTAGTTTATCACAGAAGGTACTATAATCCACAAGGGAGCAAATTTAATGATAATCCTTTTTCCTCATCATTATTTTCTCACAGAAGTGACCCAATGTGTCAAAAGGATGTCTGGAAGAATTAAAATTCAATTACTTAAACACATATACCCACAAACATAACATTTACAGCAGTAAGAAAATGTTGAATTTTACAAAAATTCATTAATTGCATAAAAATTACTGTTTATTTTGGGGGAAGGAAAATAAAAGTTCTGACAAGAGAGATGCACATTTAAATAGATGACTGGACCTTGCTTTATCACAGAAGGTAGTATAATCTGCAAGGGACCAAAATCAATGATAATCCATTTTCACATCATAATTTTCTCTCAAAATGTATAATAATAAATGTATCTTCTTTGCTTCCTTTTATTGAAAGGAAATCATTTGTCCCCTTCATTAAATTATTCTCCCTTGCAAATAACTTGGGAGAAAAGAAGCACGTGTTTTATCTGTAACATTTCCTCAGGTAAGCTAAAACGAATAATGATAGTGTTTATTTTTATAATTTTTATTACAAGTAAATTCCTATTAAAATAGGTGGAAGAAATCTGAGTAGATGATGAATCACAGACAACTGAAGAATTTCCTGACATTTTTCACATAACTGCTAATTAAGCATTTTCTTCCTCTAAGCAAACCAATGAAGTAGCCTTTATTGCAAATATTTTTCAAAAAAATGTACATTCAACTTCCCTTCAAATCTGATATTTAACTTTGCCAAACAATAATAATAATAGTTTATGACATCCGTTCATTGATCATGATTATTTATGTGATGAAGTTTTCAGAGATGATTTACAAATATAGCCCAATATCTGACATACGTCTCTACTTTCTCTCAAACAAAATATTATTTTACGTTGTATTTACAGACTGACCATGACCCAAGGAATCCTGCTTATATTGCCACCCAAGGTCCACTGCCACACACAGTTGCTGATTTCTGGCAGGTAACGTATACTTTTACTTATTCACAAAATACATAACACACACACACACACATATATATTTTAGTGGATACCCATATTTGAATAGACACTTCATTTATTTATTAAACAAAGAATGATTAGGTCTCCATGTATCTCATTTGAGAATTAGAGACAAAAAATATTGCTTCATGTGTTGTGTGACACAAAGGCCTGGGTCAGATTATATGGCCATTGCTGTCATAAGCACAACCCTACACTGACTTTCTTCTCACAAAAATTAGGCCATCCTGGAAATGACTATAAACTACACCCAGCTGCAAGGTCTTGAGGAGTGTAGAACCACCTTTTAATTGCTGCTGTTTCCAGGTTCACCCTGACCTGGGGGGGGGGTAATACCTAAGGTCTCAGCTATGGGCAAATAGTGAACCCCTCAAACAAGAATCAACAGTACATTTTTATAATAAAATGACTAACAATACATTTTTATAGCAAAATGACCATCAATACAACATTAAAAAAAAGTATTAACATTTTTTATAGTAAAATTACCAGCGATACATTTAAGAAAATTACTTACAATACTTACATTTGCCTTGAAAGTATAAAATTATGTACAAAAGATTTGTAGTTGAAAGCATGAATTTGCATGCAAAATATTTAGATTTCAGTGTTAAATAATCCATAGAGGTTGATATGCTGCTAAACAAAATCAACCAATCAACCAAAAATTAGGCATAAAAGTACTGCTTATAATTGAATAACACAATATATAAGAAAATATCTACCTCTTTATATTGTGAATATAAAGTAATTTAATTAATGAGAAATTAGACAACTTGTTATCTCATACAATCTGTATCACACCAGATGTTAAAATAGCTGTTTTGTTAATACAGCAAAAGTACTAAGAGGTGTGAGAATGAACTTAAACAATTTTGGGTATTCAGAAATGTCAATGAAGCCAATTTCCATTTGATTTGCTTTATAGTTAATTTAGCCCTAAGTGACATGGGAGGGAAATTTTCTTTGAATTACTCCAACAACACACCAAAGCAGTTGTATTAATAAATGTGTATGTATGTATGTGTATATATATATATATATATATATATATATATATATATATATATATATATATATATATATATATATATATATATATATATGACCTGTGTGTATGTATATATATATATTAGAGATTATATTAAGTTAATGCAGCTTTACAAACATCTCCATGATTTCTGTTATCTGCTGTTAACTCTGCAAATAAATAAATGTTTTACTTAATAAGGTTCCTTAAGTGCAGTGGTAGTGGTAATTTGGGTATGCCAAAATATTTAAAGAAGCGTTAAAGTGTCTGCTTTAAGTGAAAAAATTAAAGGTTTCAATTTAATAAGTAAAAGGAAAAATACAAATGCTTTTTATCTATCACAACTATCTATCCACAGATTAAGTAGGGATTACTCTCTCTCTCTCTCTCTCTTATATATATATATATATATATATATATATATATATATATACACACACACACACTGGGTGCGATGGGTAAATTGTCATCTAAATTATGCAAAAATGAAAATAACACTGACATCTCATTTTAACAGATATATTTACCAAAATTACACAAAAATATCTTGAAATACTCAAGAGTAAATTTATTCAACCACAGCCTCCAGACGACTTTGGAATCTCCATTAACTCTTTTGGATGGTCTCTTTGTTTAAGTTGGTGAATGCTGCCATAATCCATGTGTTCAGTTCATCTTTGGTTTTACAAGGAGTTTTGTTGGTCTCTCGCTCAACTCCATCCTACACATAATAATGAAGGGGGTTGCAGTCTGGGGAGTTAAGTGGCCAGATATAAGGAGTGTTGAGATTGCAGAAATTGTCTGACAGTTACGACTGGGTTCTCCTGCTTGTGTGGCATAGTGCAGAGTCCTGTTACCAGTAGCCACCCTCTTGACTTAGGGCAGCACTACCTCGTCAAGGCACTTGATGTAGGTCTCCATGTTGATTCTGAGGTCCTGAGGTCAGATGAATGGAGGCATAATGTTGCCATCACTAGTGATCACATGAAATACCTTTATAATCACCATTCGACTCATCCAACTTCTTACGAATCCTCTGCACTATCCTCAGATTGACACCCAAACATGCTGAAATGTTCGTATTAGAGCTTCCAGCAAGCATGCCATTTCAAAATTTCTGGCAGAGTGAATTGTGTTATGGTACTCTTTCTTTCTCACAGACAGTGCCCAACTTACCCTGATATACTTTGCAGTCGACAAAATCAAAAACAAGCAACACACTTGTATGAAATATAAAATGGCGACAATTTACCCATCTCACCCTGTGTGTGTGTATGTGTTACAAAAATAACTCACACAAATATACACACAAACACATGACAGGCTATAAAAAAATCAAGTAAAAAACATTTTTTTGTTTCTCTTTATTTTTAAAGTTTTAGAGCTTTGTATGAATTTATATGACAATCAATTTTTATGACTACCATGAATATGTTTTGACCAAAGTTGTAATTTTTAATTTTATCAGCCCTTAAGAGATTTCAATTGTCCCTGGCATCTTGACTAAATTGTTGGAAAATTTGAATTTGTGATATTAGTGCAATTAAATTATATATATAAAAAAAAATCATTGAAAAACAAGTATTACATGTTTAATTTTTATGTAAGTAAACTGATTTCACTTTCAAATTATACCAAATTTTAATATCCTCGCAGGCATATTTGGGTGCCTCTAGATTTGAAGGGTTAACGAATTGACTAATGATGTTTGTTTGTTTTTTCTAGATGGTATGGGAGCAAGGCAGTGTTGTCATTGTGATGCTCACCAAACTGACTGAGAATGGAGAAGCTATGTGCCACCGCTACTGGCCAGAAGAAGGTAGTGACCTGTACCACATTTATGAGGTAAGATATCTTAACTATCATAAGAGGAATGGTTTTTCTTTATGTTCTTAGATAATCTCTATTTGTTGGTTCTCTATTTTAAGATATATCTTGGTGTTTTTAATCACTCAACATACTGCAACTACTTTTTATCATATTATTATTTTATTTAAATATAGAATGATTTCATCCATTACTTGTAAGGAGATGACTCAATTAAGTATGTTGGGTGACTTGATTTAGTATGTAAGATGAATTGAGTCTTCCTGGTTATAAATTACAATTTCAAACTGGTTACAAAATAGATGCTATAAAAATATTATAAAAGTAAATAAAATTGAAATCCTCAGTTAAATATTTTCCCAATTACAATGTTCTGCCTGATTTCCAACCTTTATTTAGATTGATTCTGTATATCTGCTTGATTTCCAACCTTTATTTAGATTGATTCTGTATACCAAATATAATACTATTTTTCTTTTTGACTTAATGCTATAATAAAAAAGAATGTTGAAAAGTTCTCAGTTCAACCAAAAAGCCATTTCCAAAAAAAAAATGTTCTAATGTTTAGTCATTTAAGATTTTGGGACATGGGTTAGGCCAAGAACTTTTTCAGCAGCCCCTGTAATTTTATAATAATTATTACATTTTCTATTTCTGAAATTTATTCTCATATATTGAAAGCACCATTATAGGAAAATCTTTAAACATGGCATACTGAAGGTACAAAAGCAAAGAGAAATATCGAGGAACCTAGCATATAGGCTTGTGTAATGGATGAAAGAACAGGAAATAGGTGGAGGAATAAAGAGACAAAAATTGTTTATAGCTGAAAAGGATAAGAAGTTGGGGATAGTCCTGATTGCAAACATTCTGAAGAGGTATGGTACATAAAAGAAGAAACATATTAAAGTTTAGATGCTTTGAAAAAGAACTTCATTGAACTATATGTACAGGAATCAATAACTTTTGGTTTATAGTAATAAGAGAAAAAAATCCTTATTTTTAAATCTACATAAAAAAAAGACAAGCTTACTTTGTCTGTTAGAAAAATGTTAGAATTAGATCTGTAGAAAGATGAATGATGCTGCTAGCTTTAAAACAATATGCACATATGTTCATATTGTGGATTATAGGCTGTAAACATTATCCTACCTTAAATGCTAGATGCACACACCTGCTTATTCTGTTACTGTGAGGATGAGTTAAAACACTGAATGAAATCCTATCATACTCACTGCTTCTAAATCCTACCACTGTCTCCCTCCCAAGAAGATGACAATGTTGGCTACATCAGAGTCATAAATGTTTCCTGACAAGTGAAATCCATAGTGTTAGATGCCAACAGGAGAATTAATAATCCAAATAACTCCTGCTTCTCTATGTTGACAACTTTCTCTTCTCATTTTCTCTCTCCTTTTCATCCATCACCTCCCTTCTTCCTACCCTGTCACTCTTAACTTTTTCCTTCTCTCTCACTCTTCCAAGTATGTCTCTCTTCCTACCCTTTTTTCCTTCCATGCCTCTCTTCCTATCCTCTTTTTCCTTCCATGTTTCTCTTCTCACCCCTTCTTTCTTTCATGTCTCTCTTCTTACCCTCTTTTTCCTTTCATGTCTCTCTTTCCACTTTCTTTCTCTGTTACTCTTTCTTTTCTCTCTTAACTTCCCTGTCTCTTTTTTATCTTTTTTCCCTTCTCTACCTCATTTATTGCTTTCTTTTCTATTTTCAACCTTTTTTGCATTCTCTGTCTCTCATCTTACACTTTTCTTCATTCTTTCTCTCACTCTCTTTTTCCTTCTCTGTATTTCTCTTCCATCTTTTTTTATCTGATACTCTTCTTTGTCTTTTTCCTTTCTCTTTTTCTCATTTCTGTCATTGTCCTCACTTTTTCTGTTTTCTACGTTTCTTCTTTTTCTTTTGCTGACTCCTCTTTCTCTTTTCTTTCATCACCTCTCTCCCTTTGTTTCTTCTTTTTCTATCTCCTTCCACTACTACTACTCTATTTGACCCTCTCTCCTTCCACTGTTCCTTTTCTCTCTCTCTCTCTGCATTTTATTTTTTATTTTTCTCCTACATTTCTTTCTTTCTTATCACCCACTATTACCATCCATCTTTCATTACTACTACTTCACTATCACTTTCTTATTTTTCATCTTATCCCTCTTCCTTCCTTTTATACACTCTCTCTTACATCTCCTCTCTCTTTTTCATCTGATCTCTCTCTCTCTCTCTCTTTCCTCCTCTCTATCCTGTGCTCATTTTTATCTTTTCTTCTGTCTTTTTCATCTTTTCTTTCTCTCTCCTTCACTTTTCATTCTCTCTCTTCTTTTTCCTTTTCTCTATCTGTCTCTCCCTCTCTCTCTCTGTTACATCTGTGCCTGTCTTTTCTTCTTCCAAACTTTCTTCTCATTACTCCTCCTCCTCCTCCTCCTTTCTTCCAGTTCACTTCCTTTTCCTCCTCTTCCTTTTCCTGCTCCTCCACTTATTTGCAGCTTACTTCTGAGGATTCTTACCAAATTGAAAGATCTTTGACCGAATGCTTCTCTCGAAAGGACCCATTATGTCCTGCCTCTAGCCACTGTCTGCAATTACTGTGCTCTTCAGAATGCTCTGTTGGTGGGGTTGCAGTGCCTCACCAACTCTTTAAGACTGAGAAATAATAGTAGCCCTAATGAGTTGCCTCCCTTGTTTATTGGATCCTCATCTGATCTGTCCACATTTTTGATTGGTTGTCTGATTTAACAAAGCAGGAGAGGGAAATATTTATTTTCAGTGATTTTGAAAAACTAACAACTTGAGAGCTAAATCTTCTAGAAAAAAACCCAAAAAACATCACTTACATACACATTATTATAAACCAGATTGTAAATGTTAACATAGTGTACAAATAGTCCCCAGCTTATATCTTATCTGTACTGTCAAAACTGTACTGTTTTTAATTATGCATACCTGTATGTATGTATACTACAGACTGAGTTTTCTGAAATCTGGTAGGAAGATCATTTTTTGTTAGCTGAATATTATTATGAATTGGGAAGTTTGTGAGAATACTAAACAATTATGAAATTGCAAGTAAAAAACAAAGAAGAAATTAATGCCATCACTACAAGGGTTTTTGACTAGATTATGGTTGATGATTGGGGCTTATCCATAGATACAAATATTTTATGGATAAGTATGTATATCTAAAGACATATATGCCTTCATTAATATAATTTACAAAAACAGTACATGAAAATATACCAAAAACAATTTTTCATGTAATAATAATAAATATACATATTTTCATTATATCCAAACTTATACATATGCTCTGGCATGTACTCCATTTTTTCTTGCCTGTAATTTAGCAACAAACGATCAGAAGAAAAAAATCTCGACTGATGGTTCATTCAAACTTCTATACTAATTTTTTTATTAATAAAAATTATCCTAATTTAATAATTTAATTCTGAGATCATCAGGGAATGAGTGTATGCAACAGGATTGTTTACGTGCTAGTCTAGTACTGTTTTATATGTTTAAACTTGGTTTTAATTTGTAATTTTAATTTGACAATTTATAATAATATTATTTCATTTAGTGTGTCAAACAAGTGCTTAGGAGTTTAGTTCCAATAAACCAAACATTGGAGTATAAAATGCATGGCTATTTTTCAGGGAAGATTTTTTTTTTTTTTTAAGTGTGCTTTATATGGTGGAAAATCAACACACACTTTCTATAAATAAATGTATTGGCAAGAAAACACATCCATGCATACGTTTTCAGTGTAAAAATATTAATGCATACATACGTAGGTTCAATTATAACAATCTACATCTTCAAATTCTTATGATACAAACCTAAACATACACACACACACACACACACACAACTTGAAAAGGTATATACTTGTATAAAGATTCACACAAATATGTACTCAGATGTTCATGTAGATGCCTCTTCTGTTTATATTAAGAACCTCAGGAAAGAGAGAATTCCTTCACATGAGCCTTGAGGGCTTTGTAAGAGATTCAGTAGGGGTCGATAGTATCAATGCTTTATAAGTTGATTGAAGTTCAACTTAAACTAATGAGCGTCGACCTTCATGAAGCCAACAGCTTCTGGCATTTAATTTCACCTGGTGCTCATCTGTGGAAAGATACCTTTTCAAGCAGAAGCATCATCATCCACAAACATGCATGCATATATATATATATATATATATATATATATATATATATATATATATATACTTGAACATATGTAATTTTGAATAGGTATAAAACTAGCAGGTTCTACTATTATTGTCAAAGTTAAGTTACCTTCCAGAACCAAAACTAATCTTTACTAATGATTTTTTTTTATTTTTTGAAGTTCTTAGAAAATAAAATAAGGAGAGGCAAGAACAAAGAGATATGATATAAAGAAACAAACAAATATGGAGACACCTTCTATTGTATGATGATTAACATGCTTGTCATACTTGCAGTAGTTTGTGAGTTTGCTTCTCACTAGATGCCCTGTAATTCTGGATTCTTGTCTACTCTAGCTTCATTCAAATGTTATAAGTTTGACTGTTATTTACACTATTTACATTGTTCAGACTATTGTCTTCATCTTTATTACCATATTCATGATTTTTCAGCTGATGTACAACTCTAGCCTTCTTCAGGTTATATTAGTTAGAATTCCAAACCGAACACTTTATTTGTGCAAAGACAGATCTCCTAGATTTTTACTTTCCACTCATTTTCATATACTCTATAATTAAGTATTGAAAGGAGTAACTGTCAATTGTAAAAAAAAAAAGACAGAATGTATGGCTGTCAGCAGGAGGAACAGCCCAAAATGTAAGTTTATGAACTGGAGATGCCAAAATTAAGCAAGTACAGAAGTTCAAATATCTGGGAGCAAATGATGGAAAATATGAAACCTAATTCCAAAGGTGTATTGGAGTGGCAAAAGAAATCTTCCAAAATATTAAGAAAAGGGAAAATTTCATTAGAAACAAAGAAAAGAGTGTTGTACTGCTATATAATATCAGTCTTCCTATATGGCAATGAATGCTTGACAATTTCATCACAGAAGA